AGTGACCAAAATAAAATAAAAAAGAATCCTAAATAACCAGACGAGTTAAAACTCCAGAGGTAGGATGGCTAGGGAGGTTATGGGAAAAGCACCAAAAAAGTCCTATACATTTTGATTGTGCTAATTTAATTCTAAACCTTTTTACATTTTGCCAATTGAGTCCATCTGGCCAATTTTGATCGGAAATCGCTGATGTGGACGCCGGTCATCTTACGTGGCACGGCTAGCACTGCCGTGGATATTTTTTAATAATATTTTATATATATTTATTACTTTTATCTTTTTATCTTTCTTTTCTTTTTTCCTTTCATTTTAGCCGGCTAGGGTCGTGGTCCTTGCCAGCGGCCGGCATGGGCCTAGACCAAGGTCACCGGCCAGAATGAAAGGAAAAAAAAGAAGAAAAAAATCCAATTTTTTCAAAAAATTGTAAAAATTATCTATGTCAGCATCAGCTGTGCCACGTAGGATAGCTAGCGTTTACGTCGGTGATTTCTGCCCAAAATTAGTTGGAAGGACTCAATTCGAAAAATGTAAAAATATTTAGGACTAAATTGGCATAATTAAAAGGCTTAAGTTTTCTAGTGAAGTTGATCCAACCGAATATGTTAACAGGCTCATGTGATGGAGAGATTGTTGAGATGCATCCTAATATTCAAATATTAAATCACGTCTTTATCTAATAACTTAACATTTTTGAATAGTTTGTAGTGTGCCCACACTATGTCAAGCATGTGAGTTGTGTTATAAATTCCCAAATATCTAACAAGGTTAGTGTGTTTTCGTCTTCATCATTGTTAATTATTTCGAACCTCTCGAACCTAATAAACTTAGTTCATTTAGAAATAATTGATGGCACTTTTATGTCCTAAAAAACCAGACGAGTTCAAACTCCAGAGGTAGGATGGCTAGGGAGGCTATCTCACCTGAGGAAATTGTCACTAGTTGAAGATATGATCTTGCCTTCGACTGATTTGGGTACCCATTCTCGACTTTCTCAAAATAACTTGTGTCGACCAGCGATCTCTGACGCGACTTCCATCCAGTCTCGAAAGATTTGGCTTTGGTAGATGTGGAGTCACCATTAGAGTAGCCTCTCCTTTCCAACTTGAAAAGGTTGTCCACTTTCGCGGTCCAACGGTGTTGGCTAATAGGGATCGAGTTTGATGTGCTAGGACAACTAGAGAACCTCCATTCCTCCTATGTGGCTCTTTGCGAATTGATGGTGCGGCTTTCCAAGTTATCGTGGTTGAAGCAGCTCCGATGATTGCTTTCGATTGTGGAGCTAATTGAGATTCAAGGCTTACAGGACTGGAATCCTTTGAAAGAGTTCCCAATTGAGAATTGTCATTGCGTTCAAAGTATACATAATCTATCAAATTCACATAAGCTAAAGGAATTGAGTTTTTTATTCTTTTACATTGCTGGAAAGTTTGCCTGATGTACTTAACCCGGAAACGTCATCTGTCTTGTCATCTTGAAGTTTTCTTTTGCCGGAGGTTACATGACTTCGACGGCCCTTTCCGGCTTTACGATGAGGGAGAAAGCTCTAGGTACAATCTTCTCTCGCATTGTCAAGGCAGAACTTTTTTCATTTGCATGTGAGACTTTCCGATCAATCAATTCATGTTCAAAGCAGCTCCAATGTGTTGAAAATATATCTTGAGTTTGAGCACGTGAACGAAACCCGACCCATGATGAATTAGTATTTGCGGACGTCCAAATATAAGCCATGGAAATTCAGAGTTTCCTTTTCGGTGCAAAAGTTTCGTTGCTCAAGGATTCCAAACAAAACAAGAAAAGGAAAGTCTAAGTGAGTCTTCTTCTTTGACTCGGTCAACATGGGTGCAAAATAAAAGATAACGATTATCTATCGAAGTCCGGAAGAAATCAGCAGGATTGAGTCCAACGTTGGCCTAGAAGACTTTGACTGTGAAAGAGGAAATTGTGGACTTCTTGCCACGTGTGTCAGAGAAAGTTGGATTCGGAAAAGGAAATAGGGTTAATACCACAAAAAACCCCAAAATGGTACGCATGTGATAATTTTACCCCGAACTTTTTTTCTACCACAAAAAACCCCAAACTGGTACACCTGTGATAATTTTACCCCAAAATTTTTTTTTACCACCAAAAACCCTAAACTAGTACACTTGCGACAATTTTACTCCAAACTGGTAAACCCGTGACAAATTTACCCTAAACTATTTTTTTGATCACGAAAAACCCCAAACTGGTACACCTGTGATAATTTTATCCCGAACTAATAATTTTTTAATATTTTTTCGAATTTTTTTATTAATTTTTTTATTTTTTCTTTTCTTTTCTTTTTCTTCATCTTCAACCTCTAGCCGGTCGCTGGACCGGCGATCGGTCAGAGGCGAAAGCCGGCGAGGTCGGCCCTGCCGGTCGCTGGTGAGGCTCGACCTCGCCGGTGCGAGCGAGGACCGCCCTCACCCGACTTAGGCGAGGATAGCTCTCGCCTGACACAGGTGAGGGTCGCCCTCACCAGACGCCGGCGAGGGCGGCCCTCGCCAACGCCGGCGAGATCGAGCCTCACTAGTAGCCGGCAGGGCCAACCTCGCCGGCGGGGCCGACCTCGCCGGCTTCCGCCTTTGGCCGGTCGCCGGTCCAGAGGTTGAAGATGAAGAAAAAAAAATAAAAAAAAAATAAAATTTTGAAAAAATAAAAAATAATATTAAAATTTTAGTTCATGGTAAAATTATCACATGTGTACCAATTTGGGGTTTTTTGTAGTATGTTCAGGGTAAAATTGTCACAAGTGTACCGGTTTGGGGTTTTTTGTGGTATGTTCGGGGTAAAATTGTCACAGGTGTACCAATTTGGGGTTTTTGGTGGTAAAAAAAAAAGTTCGGGGTAAAATTGTCACACGCGTACCAGTTTGGGGTTTTTGGTGGTATTAACCCAAGGAAATAAGTATATTTGTATGGAGTCCACATTGACCGTGGAACCTAAGCATAAATACGGGCTGTTCTGTTTTTGGCCGCACAGAGGTCTTGGTGCGCTATTGTTGATGAAGAAGACTTCTTGAAGCGCCGCTAGCTTGCGAGTGCTTGGTGTGCGAAGACGTGCAGAGGATATTCGTGAATTACATCCATGAAGTTAGTGTTGAAGTTGATTAAATTCTTCTGGTAAGAATTTGTATATAATTCATTCATGAGATTGAGAGATTATTTCGTGAGGAATTATGGGGCCAAACACTGTGTGAGCTATTGGGTGTAATTGGGGCTTGGGAAATACAGAGAGTGTTTGAGTGACTCGAGTGTGGTTGTATTCTCCGTTGTATCGCTTGATCTATAGTAGAATTTCGTGCTGCTCTTCCCGTGGACGTAGGTCACTACGACCGAACTACATAAATTTGGTGTCCGATTTATTTTCTTGTTCTGTCAATTTTATTGTTCGATCGCTTGGCTTCCGCAACACAATGGGTGGTATTGACTGAATCCCCGGAGCTAATTCAAATTGTAGGCTTGTTAGAAAGTAGGAAATGGAATCATTGAAATACACTGGCAATTGAATTCGACAACTCTAAAGAAAGGTCACCCGATCTATCAAATAAACCGATGCTAGGAATGCTCCGATTGGTAGGATTTAAGAGGTAAAAAGCAAGAGCAATGCGATTTTGTTCATTGTGGTTGTCATTAAAATGTCAACACAGGAAGCCTTTCGAATGATCTACATATCCATTCACGACTTTGCAGCGAATTGAAATTGGTGATTTTCGGTTCATTTTTAGCCTTATAAATTAGTGACTTGATATAAACGGTTTTGGATACTTTAGTGAAGAGATACCATAAGATCAAGAGTCAAGTCAAAAGTAGATAAATAAGTAATAGTAAGTTATAACACATGAAATGTGGAGCATATAGTACTCATAAAAGACTATAGAACTGAACGCAACCGTGTTAGTGACCCCAGAGCGATAAGTTCATTATCTGTTGTTTGTTGTTAAGGTTTATGATTGCTCTTCTGAATGTCAAACATACCAATCCCATACAGGGAAATTCGAAGAATGGCAATGCTGTATTCAAAGTAATACTAGTTCTTAGGTTCTTCAATTCTATAAAGGAAGGAAGATGGTTACCCTCCTGAAAAACATAAAAATCATGCAACACTAGAACTGATTGAGGAAATTTCATTTCATATGGCATAATATACAGTTATATTTCGGTGTGTTCAAGTGGCATCGGTTTGCCTATGATGGGGTGTGTTATGAGAGGAACCCTTTTGAAGAGGTGTGTGGTTGTCTTTCAAGGGAAGTTAAAATAAATTCCTGAGAGAGACAACAAAAGATACGTAGAAACGAACATACAGAAAAACGTATGTTCTCCTCTCTATCAGAATAACACACAAAATGTCTCCATTACTACTTTGAGAAGACGATTGGTATTAACACTACGGAATAAGAATATTTTCGTTGTGATTATTTTTGGACAGTTGTGAAGTTGTAGATTCGTCCATCATTCACTGGTGATTCAATCTATATTCTTGGATAATTCTTTTGTTGTATATTGAAAGGTTAACGACTTCTTCTGCGATTTTTTCCCTACATGTACACTACGATAAAGGGTGTGTACATTTTGAACTACTACTTCTAGATATGAAGTACTTTCGCAGAAGAAGGAACAGGGTAAAGCAACCTCATTTATTGCCAGCACAATGGTACCAGCAAAGCTTTCAAATATCATGGTAAAGTAGACCCTGCCGCCACTTTGGCGGACTTTCATTGGCTTTACTTATTAAAGGCGTCGCAAATCTTTTCCCTTTCGGTGCTAAGACAAAAGCAAACCCGGTGAAGATCAGATTTTGAAAATACAGCGAGAGCGCATCTCAATTCTCCTGCCTCTTGGCGCTTTACTAATTCCTCTTGAGGAATCCCAGATCAGATTCAGAAAGGACTCCACATCTCGCTGTGATCTAATCCGGTGAAGATCTTGAGCTCCTGAAGGAGGATGAAGAGAAAGAAGGACTCTCCAGATGCAGCGATGACGTCCGCTTGTGTCGATGACGCGTTTTGTCGTCGGGAGCCAAATTCGAGGTGTTCTTGAGTTTCAAAAACCCCGACACCCGCCTCAACTTCACCGATTGCCTCTATCACTCCTTGGTCAGAGGTGGGATTTGCGTCTTCAGATACGACGAAGAGATCCGAAAGGGCGAAAAGATTGAAGGCGAGCTTCTGCATGCCATCGAATCCTCCAAAATATATGTGCCCATCTTCTCTAGGAACTATGCATCCAGTGTGTGGTGTCTTCGTGAGCTCACACACATGGTGGAGTGCTCGAGCAAAGTGAATGACAAAGTGATCCTACCTATTTTCTGTGATGTGAATCCCGACGATGTGAAACTCAAAACTCGATTGTACCTCGACGCTCTAGAGAAGCATGAGGAGAAGTTCAGGTGTGATGAAGTTCTACAATGGAAAGAGGCTCTGATCGAGGTCGCAAAAATCAGGGGATGGGGCACGAAGGACAAAGGGTAAGAGCGTGAGTTTGGAATCTGCTTTCGTTTTTTTATTTTTCCCTAGCAATAAAAAGTGAGATGATTATAAGGAATAGAATTTTCTCCCATTTTTTTCCTGTTTTAATTACTCCTACCAACACAGTATATTGGTTAATCCATCTTTCTTTCTCTTTTTTCCTTGTAATTATTATCTTCTATTCCTGAACCAGTCGTCCAAATATAGTATTGATCTAATTCTTTCATTAGTCGAGATTTCCATTTACTAAAGAAAGTGAGCTTTCATTCGGTAAAACCAAGCCCATTCAAAAATCCGACTAGTTTTGTGTCTACAGTATTCCCCAAGTCAAGAGTTCACTTGCCATGTGTTTCACGCTAAGACTCTTATGTCAATATGGCAGCCATGGTGAAATCATCAACACTTGTTGATGAGGTTTTGACCAAGCTGATGAAAAGAAGGAGAAATCTGCCTGATCATTTAGTCGTGATCCATGATCATGTTGAAGCTATCATGGACATGTTAAACGAAGGTTCTCGTAATGTTCGCTACTTGGTCATCCATGGAATGGGTGGTATCGGTAAGACAACCCTCGCAAGTGCTGTCTTTAATCAAATCTCCAATCAATTTCAAGGTTGTAGCTTCCTTTCGGACATTCGCAAATCTGAGCAACATGATAGAATTGTTGACTTACAAAAACAGTTGTTATCGGAAATTCTCCAAGGCAGATCTCTAGAGATCCACAATTATGTTGATGTAGGGATTAAAATAATAAGAGAAAGGTTTCGTGATAAGAAAGTTCTTCTTGTTCTTGATGACATGGATTAGTGGGCTCAACTCTCTAAACAGGCAGGAAAGAGCGATTGGTTTGATCCAGGAAGCAAAATCATCATTACAACAAGGGACATCAACTTTTTGCCAATCAAAGATGAGGATGAAGAGAGTAGTTTCCAAGCACATTCTGAAGAGTTTAAAATCTATGAAATGACAGAAATGGATTCATTCCATGCTCTTCAGTTTTTTAGCAAACATGCCTTCAGGAAGGATTTGCCACCACATGACTTTGATGATATCTCACACAAAATTATTAGAAAGACAAGTGGACTTCCATTAGCTCTCGAGGTTATTGGATCCTCACTTTGCTGCAAAAGCAAAAAGTTTTGGATAGACACAATGAAGAAGTTAGATTCTATGTCAAAGCAAGAAGTCTTCAATAAATTAAAGATTAGTTATGACATGTTAGAGCATCGTCAAAGAGAGATCTTTCTTGATATCACATGTTTCTTTATTGGAAGAGAAAGACTCGACCCATACTATATGTGGAAAGCTTCCAACTATTTCCCAAAAAGTGAACTACTTGTCCTCACTCGTATGTCTTTGATAAAGATAGTAGAATATGATAAGACTATGAATGCATGATCAACTTAAAGATCTTGGAAGAGAAATTGTTCAGCGCGAAGACGTCGATTTTCCAGGGAAGCATAATAGGTTGTGGGAGTCCAAGATTGCCTTTGACGTGGTTCAATTGAAAGAGGTAAGCTATTGTCACCTTACTATTTTCGTTAGGAAAAAAATCGACCATGCATTTATTAATGGTTGTGGAGTTAGTTTCTTGCAGGTATATTTTTTTTGTTTAATTTTTCTTTTGGCAAAGAAAATAAGGAAAAGATTTGTGTAAAAATTCATGATGTTAATTATGTTACATATCGTATTTAAAAGGTGTTGATAAGTTACATTTACAACATGAAAGTAATTAATAGCAAACACTTGGGGAATACATTTAAATACAAAAGTTATTCCACAAATTATATGAAAACAGATCCATATTGTGACTTCCTAGTCTATCAAAGCTTTTCAAGGCCGATTTTATTCCTTTTTGCTAAGTTGGGAATCATTTGCAACGTTACTCTGCATTGCAATGAGACCCTTAACCTCAAATTTGGTAATAGAATTAGTGATTAATTGTAATATGCAATCTTTTGTGTATAGTCCGGTAGAGCTTTCATACAATATACGAGAGACTTTTATAAGGTTTGTTGAATATCGTTTACTATTTTGAAACAAATCCTTTTTGTATATTGATCTTTTTATCCTGTAGAATCCACAGCTAGTCCCAAAACAAGTAGGATTTTTTGTACATTGATCTTCGTCTTGTAATAAAACTCATATGAAACCTAATAAAGGGACGCTCTAGAGTAAAGCAGGCTTCCATACGGAACATACCAAGCAGGTTTCGATCCTTAGAGTCGCAATGGGGTTATACACTCAAGAGACTTTTTGGAATTCGGTCCAGCAACTTCTTCTAAATTGCAAAACCATTGCAGGTTTTTTGTGTTGCAAAAAAAAAAATAAAAAATTTAGGCAGTATTTTCTATTAAGCGGTTTTGCTCATCGATAATAAAGTTTTATTTTGTAATTTAGCGATAGGAATTCGCTTAAACTGATGGATTAGAAATATTATTATGCTTTATACGGTGTAAATAACTCTTTTCAATTGTATGAACCAGTCGGATTAACTTGATTGACTCTTTGTTATGGTCAATTTAGATCTGTACAGATGAAGCAGTAATGTGTGTACATCACTATGTTTGTCATCCAATTCAAATGTTCACGTATGCTTTTCCTATCACTAGGGGACAGACAAAATCGTAGCACTCATATTAACAAGACTCTACGAAGAGCATAGTTTCACGAGTAAAGAATTTTCAAAGCTGCCCAATCTAAGATACTTGGAATTAAAGGGCGGAAACTTTGTAGGGAACTTTAAGAACCTTCTCTCCAAGTTAGCATGGCTCTCTTGGCTTTTTTGCCCTTCGGAATTAAACGTGACGAATTTGTGTCTCGAGAAGTTAACCGTGCTCAAGCTTTGGCATGGTGACATTACTGAAGATTGGGCCGGATGGGGGTCATGCCTGGTACAAACATTATACTGTGCGGTTTAATTTTTCTCACATTTGTCTCGCTAACCAAACTTACCAATTTGCCATTCTTGACTTGGCTGATTCTTGGTTTGTTTTTGTAGGTGAGCAAGAACTTGAAAGTCATAGAGATCTTTTTTTGCCAAAGCTTAAAAAGGACTCCCAACTTCTCGTAATGCTCGAATTTGAAGAGATTGGTTATTGAAGAGTCTTCAAACTTGGTAGTGGTTGATGGCTCTCTCTCTAAGTTGGAGCACTTGAAGCACTTGCAAATCATCTCTTATGGTTTCCCGGAGAGGAACCGTTGCGAGCTTTTTCCAGTACCTTCTGTATTAGGTAGTCTAAAATCCTTGTCAAAGCTAGAAATAGGGGGGATGCATGTTCGAGAACTTCATCATTCCATTGGAGAGATGACGTGTCTGGAGTATTTGTCTTTAGATAATTGTTCTTTTCTTAGAACACTTTCAGACTCCATCAGAGATCTTAAAATGTTGAGGACAGTGAGACTTTCTGAAACTGCGATAAAGAAGCTATTGAACCCAATAGGAGGATTAGAGTCTTTGCTTGAGCTATATTTGAATGGCACAAAAATCAGAAAATTACTTGCTTCTATTGGGAATCTAAAAAAATTGAGGAAGATGAGTATTTGTGAGACTCCTATAAAGAAGCTACCGAACCAAATAGGAGGGATGGAGTCTTTGCATGAGCGAGATTTGAGGGGAACACGTATCATGGAATTACCTACTTCTATTGGAAATCTCAAATTGTTGGAGATTTTATGTCTAGACTTTAGTGCGATCAGAGAGCTACCAAAGGCCACATGGATGCTAGGAAATCTTAAAGCTTTGCATGCGATTTTCTGTAAAAATCTAAAGGGGGAAATTCCATGTGAAATTGGGGGTCTATCCTTTTTTACTACGCTAAAGCTATCAGAGAGCAAGATTAGGAGATTGCCCACAACTATGAGTAAGCTTTCTCTTCTCCAACAACTTCATTTGGATCGTTGTGATAAACTTGAACAGTTGCCAGAGCTCCCTGTGAATTTGAAGGAGTTAAAGTTCTCATCTAATTTATTGTGGACAGCCCTTGACCTCTCATACCTGACTAACTTAGTCGATCTTCATATATGGGGTGGCACTCCTAGGTTGTCAAAATTTAGACAAGGAGCTCCAAATATAGAGTGGATCAGGAGGTTATCTTATCTGGAGAGATTGACACTTGTCCATGGAGATTTTACATTTCCCCCGATTAATTCGGCTACTCTTTCTCGGCTTCAGATTCTTGAGATAACTTGTGTTGACCCGCGATTTTTGGTGGGGCTTCCGTCCAGTCTTAAAGGATTGACTCTACATGATATGAAGTCACCCATGGGAAGGTCACTGTTTTCAAACTTGACAAATCTGTCTAGTTTGTGCCTTCATAATTGTCGGCTGAGGGAAGTCAAATTGGATGATGTTCTTGGACAGCAACCGGAGAAGCTCCGTCGTTTGGATTTGAAGAATAATGCAATGCTTGAGAGGCTTGTAATTTCGAGATTAGAGGGGCTCCAAGAGTTTGAGTGTGACTAATTGCCCTGGGCTAATGGAGACTCAGGGTCTGGAGAAATTGAAATCATTAGAGAAGTCGTATATTGACGGACGCAGTTCCTTAGAATGGTTGCCTAATTCATCACAATTAAAGAAGCGGCAGATATTGGAGTGCCCACGTTGTCCACCGGAAAAGATGCCCGATCTACATATATTCCAGACCCGTATGACTTGCTCATTGGAGGACGCCGTATTTCATATACCTTCTCTGGCCTTTGCAAAGTTCAGCTCTGTCATAAGCATTTGTGCGATGAGTCGGCCTTAGATTAGTGGTTTGCTCCTATTTTTGAACGTAAATCAATGCAGAATGGAAGTTCTAACTGTGGTGGCGGAGCATTGAGTCAATTCATGAGTGACAATTGTAATGTTTCATACAAGCATCCAACGAGCAACCCTCCATACCTTGTGGACCCCAAGAAATCTTGCTAGGAGATTCTTTTGCTCTTCAACATTGAGGGTAAGTAATTTATAACTGGTTGATGCAGTCATACTTATCAGAAGTAGAGCAATACTTCTTATC